CTTGACACTACATTCCGAGACCTATCTATAAGCCATGCAAAGAATTTCATCTTCTTTTCGAGTCCAAGCCCTTCCTTTCATTGCAGATGTCGCCATTTGAAAATTATTGAAAAAACTAAAGGAAAAATTTTTGGAAGAGGTAAGAGAATAGAATGTGAAGAATTGAAATAAAATGAGGTAAGGTAGTATGGAATGGTGAAAATTATGTGATAAATGATGTATGAATAGCTTAGGTATTTATAGGAAAATTATGTAGAAATGACGTTAGCATGATCCCAGGTTACTGTTGCAATTCAAATTCTTGGGCTGCCTGGGGTTGGCTGGCAGGCTGGAATGGGCCAGCTGGTTGGCTTGATTTCAGATTTTTGGCCCGGTGAAGCCCACAAGCCCTTTGGGCTAGCCCCGGTTAGAGACCGTTTTCGTGTCATTTCAAGCTATTTAGCCTTATAACCTTTTAGCTAGGTCGATTAGAGATGACCTTACACGCTCGATATTAAATTGTTTATGCAAATCTTGCTTTGGACAATAAAATAAATTCGGCTTATGATAAGTTGATAATAAAATTTATTGAACAAAGGCGTGAAAACTAAAAAGTCTTACAAATCTGTTTGTCAACCTTAATTTTGCTTTAATTACGACCATAGTTATGAAAAAAAACTATTATCAGGACCTAAATATGATTAAGAGCATGTTTAGAAGTGTTACCTAGATACACTGTTAAATAACACTTTTGACAATGTTTGAAAAGAAAAAGTTCAAAAACGTCTCCGAGTACGAAAAATCACTTGGAAGTGGTTTATAGAAAAAGTAGTTTTAGATACTTTTTTTCATAAAGCACTTTAAATACTTCTTTCAAAAAAGGATTTAGATCCTCTCTTGAGCTAATGGAGAGGATCCTCCTGACCAATCATCGTGGGCCATTGGATTTTTATCTAACGGTTACAAACAGGGGGTCCCTTTAAAGTTATAATGATTTTAGCCGTTGGATAAAAATCCAACAGCCTACGATGATTGGTCAGGAAGATCCTCTCCATTAGCTCTTGTAACCGTTGGATTTTATCCAGCGGACCACGATGATTGGTAAGGAGGATCCTCTCCATTAGCTCAGGAGAGGATCCAAATCCTTCAAAAAACACTTTGGTTCTTTTTTCAATAAGCAATTGAAGTTTTAACAAAAAATTTAGGATGAACTGCCAATTAGTCCATGACCCGACCCAGGCCCAATGTGGTTAGGGCAACCGTCCGGGGCCCAAAAAAATTGGGGGCACCAAAATTATTAGGTTAATATATTTATATATGTTTTTATAATAGTATAAATTTATAAAATTTGGTTTAGTGACAAAGAAATTTAACTAGAGTGGGTGGTTTTGTTGTTTAAAATGAATGAAGAGGTTTTAGGTTCAAAACATCGTGTGTGCTTATTTACATTCCAATTTTTACAAATTTCTTTTCATAACAATATAAATTTATAAAATTTGGCTAAATGATCAAGAAGTTTAATTAGAAGCAATGATTTTTGTTGTTTAAAATTAACGAGAGGTCCTAAGTTCGAAATGCTATGTGCATGTTTATTTTTTTTCAATTTTTACAAATTTTTGTTTAGTTGTTAATTTATTTACTAGCTAGTAGCTATGTGGGTTGCTATTTTTAAATATATGTTCCAATTCAAGTTTAATCTTCAGCAAAAAAAAATGCGTAGACTAAATTTTTAGACCAAATTTGCAAATAATATTACGTGTCATCAAAAGGTTTAATTTAGTATTCATTCATTACTTATACATATCCTTAAAGACTCAAAAACATTAATATTTTTTTAGTCTTATATTGACGAGGTTAGTAAATAAGAAAACAAAACTCATATTCTATCTACTTGAAAGCCCGAAGCTTTTTAGTTTCCTTCTCTTGATACAAAATAAATTAATTATTCCGTATTTCTAAATTATTGAGTTTGAAGTGTCTTTCTAAATATAATTTTATCGATGTTTTAAGTGTGAAAACAAATATTTTTTTTATATGAAATGAGGACACATTTTTTTACGTCGTCCCAGGCCTCAAAAATCTGTGGACCGGCCCTAAGTCCATGAATTATCACCTTAGTGAAAATTAAGTCTCTAAACTATTTTTTTCCATAAAAATTAGTCATTGAATTATAAAAATCTGTCAATTACATTCCTAATATTTCGATTCGAAACTACTATATTCAATTTTTTGTCAATTTAAGTCACATTACTTGCATGTAATACATATTGGATGGTAGATTGGTAATTTTTCATAAAGAAAGTGTATAGTTAATTTTGGAAGGTAAATTAGACATTAGATTAGCAACCTATATGAGCTTAGAGGCGAGAAAAGGTTGTATTACACTGTAAAGTGTGTTAAGTGACTTAAGTTGACGAAAAATTAGATAAAATAGTTTTGAATATAATAGTAGGGAAGAACTGCCAATTCAATCCCTAAATTATCACCTGAGTGAAAATTAGGTCCCTAAACTATTTTTCCAGAAAAATCAGTCATTGAATTATAAAAATCTGCAAATTACTTTCCTAATATTATATTCGAAGCTACGCTATTCAATTTTCCGTCAGTTTAAGTCACTTTACTTGCATGTGATACACATTAAAGGGTGGATTGATAATTTTTCATAAAGAAATAGTGTAAAAAAGTAACTTTGGAGGGTAAATTAGACGTTAGATTCACAACCTATATGAAATGTGAAGAGCTTAAGAAAAAGACGGTATTGGACTTTAAAATATGTCAAATGACTTAAGTTGACAAAAAATTGGATAAAATAGCTTTGAATATAATAGTAGGGATAAAATTAGCAATTTTTTAGGGACTTATTTTACCTGAAAAATAATTCAGGGACCTAATTTTCACTAAGGTGATAATTGATTAATTAAATCGGCACTTTACCTTAATAGTAAGGATGCAATTAGCAATTTGTAATGAATTTAGGGACGTATTTTACCCAAAAAAATAATTTAGGGAACTAATTTTCACTGAAGTGATAGTTCAGAAACTAAATCAACACTTCACCCAAATTTTTATACGTGCTTCTTATAGAGGCCCTTACAATAAAAGTGCTTTGAGTAGAAGTGCTTCAAGCGTTTCTAAACTAACCCTAACTAGTTTTAGTTTGACGTCAAACAAAAAAAAAAAGTTTTGCTTTTTATTTTATTTTATCAAAAGATGAATGAAAATCGAATCTGAAATATCTTCTATTATCGTTAAATTACGAGCTAGTTGATCAAATGTAATTCAAGCGGCCCCTTCACTAATCAACCTCTAGCAAACTAGCAAGTGTTTAGTAACATTTGATTGTGGACTTGCTTGCTTAATGAAGATTATATCTTCAAAAACTTCTTCCCATTATCTTCATGTGAAGATTCACGTTCATGCACGTTCCATCCTATTTTTCAACTGCCAACTTGTTTATGATAAGCAATGATTACAAGAATATCAACGCCGTTAATCTCCATAAAAATGTCGTTGTCTGCGACTGGGTCTACTCTTTAACTTGTTCTAAGTTCATAAAGTCCACTCTCTTCCTTTCCCAGAAATTCACCACCAACCGTTGATTTTGACTACTTCTTAATCCATAGAGATCCCTAGAATCAAACGAATGAGAGCTATAGTTAACGTCAAAGTCAACAGAGAGATAATCTTGTGGGTTCCGTTCAGGTCCAGGAGCTTCACCTATGCTTTCAAATCAAATTGGCGAACAGCGTCTAGAACAATCATTTAAGCAAAGAAAAATAATTTTCGGACATTCTTTTTTCCTTTTGCGTATTCTTGTTTATCTTTGTTAAAAAATACTTTCAACTTTCTATGTAAAAATGCATTTATCTCACCTTTTAAAGAAAACATATGTTAATCATATAATCCAAAAGATTCAATTTCTTAAGCTTTATTTGAAAATCATCACTATAAAAAATCATTCGAATGAATATCATTCAATCATCCAAATTATGGAATTAATAAACGGTTTATCATGAATATGTTACTTAGCATTTATGTCGTCGACAAAATCCATACGTTTTAATGCATAAACGATCACTAACCCGAATGATTGTTTTTTTGTAAAGATGATCTTTGAATGAAGATTAACAAATTATTCGCAAAAAGTGAGATATATCCATTCCTCCTTCATGAGGAAATACAAGTACTATCCATTTTTATTTATTAATTTTCATTTAATTTATTCAATCTTAAAGTCCAAATGAACAAGATATGCACGAAGAGAAAATTCTTACAGGAAATCAAATCCCCTAAGAAAAAAAGACACTATGCAATTCTATTGGTTCTAGTCTCTACACCTCTTCGGTCTCATATGAGTCTGAGCTCATCTGATGACAACTAAAATATAGAGGAAATTCCCACTGGATCCAATTCCTTTACTACCAACATGCAACTAGTATTATTGGCAAGAAAAACTCCACATTAGGCAAGTCAATGCCCTTAATGTAAGGGTCGTGATCAACCATCACTATATATGGGAAGGGCTTATTACCAATAATATGTGCCTCTTATTTTGTCCTCAGTGCTCACCAATCACCATGGCTAGCTCCATAGTACTGTTGTTAGTGTTACTCCTCGTAGCTATATCTCTGTTATCTGTATCCGCTAATCGTGAGTAACGCAATTATTTGTACTATATGTACTATGTTTATTAATTTATCTATTTACGCTTTATATTCGTAATTTAATTTCATATCTCATAAGTAAATGTACTTTAGTAATCAGTATGTCATAAATGCGATCTGTTAGTAAATTTGATACAAATAAGATTATTCTTGTACTTTTTTGTACTTAGCTTTCATTTTCTTAATTTTAAAAAAGTTGTTTTTGCCATTTTAAAAGTGATAGAGAGATTTTGCATTTGAATGAGCGTATGATGACTATTTTAGAATTCGGATACACAGTTGCCGTATAGCATCACCGTGTTGGATACCATCCTTGTATGTTTTGTATCAAACTAATACCTCTTTTTCTTGCTTACACATGATTCATCTGCAGTTGTTAGCATCGATTGCGGATCATCGGATTCGTTCACGGACGAAAATACGATCAAATGGGTTGGAGACGACGAATTTGTTTCAGGTGGAAAATCCCAAGTGGTTCAAACCACAAACGGAGTGGCTCGTGTGTTGACCACCTTGAGAGTGTTTTCAACCAGGAAAAGAAACTGTTACTCCATCAAAGCAGAAAAGGGGGCTCAGTTTCTTGTGCGAGCATCTTTCTTTTATGGAAACTATGACAAGAAATCATCTCCTCCTGAATTTGCTCTTCTTCTGGACGGGAACTATTGGGCCGACGTCATAACTTCAGCCACTGATCTTGTGTATAAAGAACTAGTTTATGTCGCCAACGGTGATTTTATAGAGATTTGTCTTGCTCAAACGAAGCCTAACCAGCTTCCGTTTATATCAGCTATCGAGATCGGGGGCTTGGGCACGGATATGTACAGCCATGTCGACGCTGAATATGCTATGGTTCATACAAGAAGGGTTGCTTATGGTGCAACTGATAATATAAGGTATATAAAAGGTTGCTTATAATTCAAGCATTTTGACGCCTTTCTTTTATCTTTCTATACTTTACACCTCTATAGGCACATTATTTAGTGAATAAATTTGATGACGACTCTAACATTATTAGTCATTCACTTGTGTCATATAAACAATTTTGGTGGCCGTATATACTTGTAAGCTCCACTACATGTGTGCGCACCTAGATTTACATTTAGCAATAATCAAACACATGTTCACTAGAGACCCACAATAAATCTGTTAGAGATTAAAGAAAAACTAACAATCGCTCATGTGAATGTGAGCATATAAACAATTTTGGTGGCGTATATACTTGTAAGCTCCAGTGCATGTGAGCTCACCTACATTTACGTTTAGCAATAATCAATCACATGTTCACGAGAGACTAACAATAAATCTATCAGAGATTAAAGAAAAACTAACAACAGTCGCTCATGTGAACGTGAGCAATAGTACTATATCCACATACTCAATTTAACTTGGCCAAATTTTAAGTCAACTTAACCCAAAGCCTGACAATGGATTGGAAGTAGGATCCATATATAGTCCATAGTTTATCAAAAGTCTATAGTATAATACTAATCCTATTTAAGTTGACTTCAATTCATTTATTTCATGAGACAATCAAATTCCATGCGATATTGATATATTTATATGTGTGTGGGTTTTCCAGGTACCCAAGTGATGATTATGATCGGATTTGGGAGCCAGTGGAGGGTGGAGATGGATTAGTAAAACTCACAAACGATCTACATATTATTGATACATCTGTGCCAGATCAGCCTCCAGCTGCTGCTTTCCAGTATGCAATAACTACCTCAAAACCCTCCGTATCAATTAGTCTGGGCACTGATCTTCCGACCGATAAAGTTCCCATCTACATCATCATGTACTTCACCGAAATGAGCCAACTGACCACGTCCGAGACCAGATCCTTCGAGATTTACATCGACGGCAAGTCGGAGTCGGACCCCATTGTTCCTGTCTATGGAACTGTCACGGAGATGTCTATTACCAACATTACTGCTTCTTCCAGCACAAATATTTCTCTGGTAGCTACTGCCGATTCGACACTTCCTCCGTTGATTAATGCCATGGAGGTTTATTATGTCAGTGGTCCGTTAACGGGTGGAACGGATAGCAATGACGGTTGGTACTCGAGTCCTTAATCTTATCATACTATGATAATTCATGCACGAATGAGGATCCTCTCCCGATCCTCTTTGTAAGGATCCTGAGGATCCTCAAATCATGTTCGTTTATCGTACATCGTGAGGTCAGAAATCATTCTAAATATTTTTATTTAAAATTAAATATGAACAGTACCTAAAGAAAATTAGTCGTATGATATACTATAAAGGAACACCATTTGAGGATCCCTGGGATATAATACTACTGCTCACGTTGTCATGTGAACATGAATCCATACTCCCATCTTATCGTTCGGTTGGCAAACCATGCCAAATTCCTTGTGCCACCTGCTAGCCACATATACATAATTACCAAAAATCAATTACCGCTAGTCAACCGTCTTCTTGCAGTTACCAAAAATTGGTTCAGCCAAAATTATTGGCTAGTTCGGTTTGTAAATGGCACAACCAATAGTTTCCACTTCTTCCTCGCTATCTTCCAATTCCAAGGGCTCAATTTGATTTTCAGATTGGGGTGCTTGTTCGGTTGCATTGTGTGGTTCATTTTGGGTTAATCCATGTTGTGCACTAGCGGTTGATTGGCTAGACTCCAGCATCCTAAACATAAGCAACGCATATACATTCAAAATCATATATATATATATATATATGTATGTGTATATATGGTATCAGTAATCATCATGCTATCAATTTTGTTAACAATATTTTCTATATTTATTATGGCATGAATCATATACATATACATAAATTTTTTAAACCCTAAAACTAAGGAGTCAAGCATGTAAAAAATACCTAAAATATCTAAATAGAAGAAAAAAAAATTATATATATATATATTGGTGGGTATGGCAGACCGCCAGAATACAAAATCAATAACCAAAGCTATGCCATTAATTGTCGGTTCGGTAAAATGCCAACCAATTATAAAAAAATACCAAAACTATACCATACCGTTATGAGCCAACTGGTATGGTTCGGTTGGTAATTGGTTTATGGCAAAATTTCTTATCCCTAGTTGAAACAAGGCGCTCAACAGCGTTGATCATATTAAGAGCCTAATAACATAGCATGATTTACATTTCATATCATATGACCATCAATGAGCTCATTATTTTGTGTGTGCATTTTCTAGTTATGAAAATTGACGATTTTTTTCCTTTTTTGTGGGTTTTCTTTTGCTATATATCAGTGACAGGGTTAGGTATATTGCAAGACAAGTTCAGTATATTACAGGAATGGACTGGTGACCCATGCCTCCCTTCTCCATTTACCTGGGACTGGGTCAATTGCAGTTCTGATATTACACCCCGCGTAACAGCACTGTAATTACTTTAATTTTTTTTCTAAGTAAACCCTTTTATTTTTATGTTAAATTTTCAATTTATATTATATTCATTAATTTGTAACGCACTTGAGGTTTTCAGGTATCTGAGTGGCTATGGCCTCTCTGGCCAACTTCCAGACTTCAGCTCCCTTGATGCTCTTCAGACAATGTAAGCTATCACTGAACACAGCTAATTAGTTGGTGAAAAGAAAATAATATAAACTGAAAAATATAATTAAATAAAAAAAGGAACCTGTTTAGATAGTTTTTCAGATTCTAACCATGTCACTTGCAAATTATTTTTTGAATTGCAGAGACATGCACAACAACAGCTTGGGTGGAGCCATTCCTGATTTTCTTGGCACCTTACCCAAACTAACCCAATTGTAATATTTCCCCAGAAAATGTCTCCTAGAAGATTATATTCTTGCTAATTTCTGTATAATTAACCATAAATTTTCTCCTCTATTAGGAATTTAGTAGACAATAAACTCAGTGGACCCATTCCCACCACAATTTCAACGAATAGCAAACTGAAATTAGTGTAAGTATACTTATTCCTTTTTCTCCCTTGAAGTAATATGGACAAATAGAATTGATAACAATTTTGTTTTAAAATATGAAAACTAGATCATATTATACGAGCTCCGATTTAGTGACATATTATTATCCGGTTAGTGTTCCTCAAGTTCTATTTTTCATTTTATTTAAACAGAAAAAGAGTTTAGAACCGGTTCTGTTTTTGCATATATATTTCTCTTTTTTCTTTGCTTTTGTGTTGACAGTTCGAACTTCTATTTTCTGGGGATGAAGGTCGTCGGGAAATCCTGATCTTTGTGCCGCCGGCGCGTCCTGTAAGACAATAATTCCAGCTGATAGTGATAATGGCTCTTCTAGTGGTGGTGGCAGCAGCAAGAAGAAAAGCAGCAAGCTACCGTTAATTATTGGAGTTACAGTTCCAGCTATCATTGTTTTTGTGGTCATTGTGGTAATCATAGTTTGTGTTATAAGCAGCGGTAACAGGAGAAGAGCGGCAATTGCAGCACACTATGCAGGTAATTAAGCATACAACCTAATCTCTGAGTATCATATTGTGTAATACATCATCGTTAAAAGAGGTAGTAAACCTAGGTAGCGACCTATATGTCCAATTAAAAGTAGCATGACTTATCACGTGACAAACAACTTTTCACCTACATTGATGATATTCTAAACTAATAACGTCTGATTAGTTTGCAATACCATCGTAGTGATGTATTGTAGTAAGTCTTGATTTTGTTAGTGGGGAAATCTTGAGTTGAAGAGTTTGACCGTGTGTCTTATCTAGCCACCTATAATAAGATGACCTCACATTAGCATTTACTTTTAACCTAGATTTCTACTGACAAGCATATCGACAAACATGTATTCGAAGTATCAATAGTATGACTAACGTGTCAGTAGTCAATAATATGTCGATATATATACTTACAAAATATTAAATGGTCCAAATAATCATTTAATTCAACAACCTGATAATTCTAGATTCTCTCATGTTAGTGTCATGATACATAATGACAAGCCATGTGGATTTACTCAATATTTTAGTAATTAGTCTATATGCTTGAAATTATGAACTATTGTGACTCCTATTTTTGTGCATTTTATAGGGCAACATGGTGGTGGCAACATGCCTAACGGCCAGCCACCACAAGGAGGGCCAATGGATCCCCAGATGGTGGGGAAATATGCAGAAGTAGCGATGAATCAGTTTGAGGTGAATATTCAAGGGCAAAGTGCCCCAACAACACCAGATCTAACACCTCAACAGAACGAAGAAAGGCCACTCTATTAAGTGGCTCGCCGTCGCCGGCCGGTCATCTTTTGTTTATAGTTGTGTCATGTGTAAGTCAAAATTGTATTCATACATAGTTGTGTTTTTTAATTTTGGGTTAATTACAAAAAACTACCTCAAGTATGGGTCAAATGACACTTTCATACCTCATCTTTTAAAATTGACAATGTCATACCTCATCTTACGAATTTGTGTCAATGTTATACCTTCCGTTAGTTTGGCCGTTTATTTCTCAGTTAAATGCTGACGTGGCTTGATCCGGGACCCATTTTTATTAAAAAATTAATAAAAAATTTATTAAAAACAAAAAAAATCATTTAATATTATTTAAATATTAAAATAATAATAAAAAGTACATAAAAAAATTAAAAACATTAAACATCATCTTCCTCTCCTTTCGTGCATCTCCCCCCTCTCTCTTCCCATCATCTTCCTGCAACCCAACAACCCAGCAACCCAGAAAAGAAGAAGGAGGAAAGAAGAAGAAGAAGAGAAAAAAAAAAAAAAAAACCCAAACCAAACCAAACCCAGTTCATCCCCCCTCCCCCACCACAAACTCAACCCCCTGCAACCTAGAAAGGAGCAGGAAGAAGAAGGAAACAAAAAAAAAAAAAAAAAAAAAAAGGAAACCCAGTTCGTCCCTTGCAGAAGAAGAAGAAGAGGGAAGAAGAGGGAGGAAGAAGAAGAGAGAAGGGAAAAAAAAGAAAAAAAAGCAGCAAACCCGTCCCTCCCACCCAACCCCACCCCCCCCAACCTAACCCGCAGAACAAGAGGGAAGCAGAAGAAAGAGAAGAAGAAGAAGAAAAAAAAAAAAAAACCCAGTTCGTCCCCTGCAGAAGAAGAAGAAGAAGAAGAAGAGGGAAGAAGAGGGAAAGAAGAAGAGGGAAGAAAAGAAAAGAAAAAAAAAAAAAAAAAAAAAAAAAATACCCAGTTCGCCGCCTGCAGAAGAAGAAGAAGAAGAAGAGGGAAGAAAAAAAAAAAAAAAAAAAAAAAACCCAATTCGCCCCCTGCAGAAGAAGAAGAAGAGAGAAGAAAAAGAAAGAAAAAAAAAATCGAGTTTGTCCCCTGCAGAAGAGGGAAGAAGAAGAGGGAAGAAGAGAGAAGAAAAAGAAAAAAAAAAAAAAACCCACTTCGTCCCCCTGCAGAAGTAGAAGAAGAAGAAGAAGAAGAAGAAGAGGGAAGAAGAGGGAAGAAGAAGAAGAAGAGAGAAGAACAAAAAAAAAAACAAAAAAACAAAAAAAAAAAAAAAGCCCACGCCCAGTTCGTCTGCAGAAGAAGAAGAAGAAGAAGAGGAGGGAAGAAGAGGGAAGAAGAAGAAGAAGAGAGAAGAAAAAAAAAGGATTTTTATTATTTTAATATTTAAATAATATTAAATGATTTTTTTTGTTTTTAATAATTTTTTTATTAATTTTTTAATAAAAATGGGTCCCGGATCAAGCCACGTCAGCATTTAACTGAGAAATAAACGGCCAAGCTAACGGAAGATATAACATTGACACAAATTCGTAAGATGAGGTATGACATTGTCAATTTTAAAAGATGAGGTATTAAAGTGTCATTTGACCCAAACTTGAGGTAGTTTTTTGTCATTAACCCTTTAATTTTTAATTTTATTTGTTTCCCTCCATCAATAAGAAGTGTCGAATAAATTGCGGTTTCACAAGCTAGCTAGATGCTGGAATTTCTGAACTTGCCACAAAGTTCAAACATAATTTAAGCTTTACACTCAATTCTACCTTCTAAACGACTTATATTAATCTGGTTACCACAAGGTTAGGTCTGGCAATTCCTGACACGACCCGATAACTCGACACGACACGATACGAAATTAACAGGTGTTCGGGTCGACACGATAACGAATCGGGTCGTTATCAGGTAACCCGATAACAACCTGTTAAGATAACGGGTTGATTCGGGTATACACGTGGGTAACACAATACATGATAAGAAAAATATTATTTTTATAATTTTATAACCCTAAAAAAATACTGTAATAATTATATACATTAATTTAACAATTTTATATCCCTAAAAACTATAATAAAAAAATATATATATATATATATTAAATTAACTATAAAGTCTATAATAATTATATATACTATAATAATTATACCCCCAAAATATTAACTATCTATAATAATTATATAATTATATATATATATATATATTAAATTTTGAATTAAATTTTATAAAAACTATAATAATTATTAATTAATATGCATGATGCATCCATTGATTTGATTCCATTCCATTCATGTCGCCCTTTTTGAAGAAAATGGAGGGAAAATGAAAATGATAAGAAAAGTTGAAAATGAAACAAAAAAGTGAGGGAATTAAGGAAAGATGTTGGAGGGAAAAGTAAAAATTATAAGAAAAGTTGAAAAGGAAACAAAAAAGAAAGGGAAAAATGAAAATTAATAGAAGTGGTAAGAAATTTTTTTTTTTTTTTAAGTTATTAACTTTTTATCACACATGTCACATCCCGGTTCGGGGCGGATCACTTCCCGGGCCCGCTCCACCAGTGTAGCACGATATTGTCCGCTTTGGGCTTACCATTCCCTCACGGTTTTGTTTTTGGGAACTCACGAGCAACTTCCTAGTGGGTCATCCATCATGGGATTGCTCTAGCCCCCTTCTCGCTTAACTTCGGAGTTCTTACGGAACCCGAAGCCAGTGAGCTCCCAAAAGGTCTCGTGCTAGGTAGGGATGTGAATATACATATAAGGATCACTTCCCTAAACGATGTGGGATGTCACAATCCACCCTCCTTATGGGTCCGACGTCCTCGTCGGCACACACGCGACCAGGGTTAGGCTCTGATACCAAATTGTCACATCCCGGTCCGAGACGGATTACTTCCCGGACCCGCTCCACCAGCGTAGCACGATATTGTCCGCTTTGGGCTTACCATTCCCTCACGGTTTTGTTTTTGGAAACTCACGAGCAACTTCCCAGTGGGTCACCCATCATGGGATTGCTCTAACCCCCTTCTCGCTTAATTTCGGAGTTCCTACGGAACCCGAAGCCAGTGAGCTTCCAAAAGGCCTCGTGCTAGGTAGGGATGGGAATATACATATAAGGATCACTCCCCTAGACGATGTGGGATGTCACAATACATATGACATATATCACTATTTTTATAATGACACACGTGATGTACTACTCCGTGTACCAGTCAATTATACGTACAAAATAAATAAATTTAAATCTACTTAATAAATAAATATATATATCTATATACACCATTGGAACTTGATGGGATACGAATTCTCCGAAACTAATTTGAACGATCTCAACCGTCAAACTTGTTTGTATATGCTTTAAAATCACATCACCAAAAAATAAAAAAAAACAAACTTTCAAAGATCAAGTAACGTGACAAAGCTTTTCAACGGTTATAAACGAAAAATCACGATTTAACGGTTATTTTAACTTCGATTTTGATGATTTTTTATAGCTACACTTCTTGACCCTATATGAATACAATGAATGAATTTGATCTTCAATTTAAAATATTTACACAAGTGAATACTACAAAATCTTATGTTATACTTGATGAAAGTATAAATAAACTCTAAGTGTTAGTTAATCTATTGTTTTTATGGGATACAAATTCTCTTAAACTAATTTCAACGATCCCAACTATCAAACTTTTTATATATGCTTTGAGATCACATCAGCAAAAAATCACAAAAAACAAAGATTCAGAGATCAAATAACGGGACAAAACTTTTCGACGGTTATAAATGAAAAATCACGATCTAACGGTTATTTTAACTCCTATTTTGATGATTTTTTACAGGTACACTCCTTGACCCTATATGAATACAATAATGAATTCGATCTTCAATTTAAAATATTTACACAAGTGGATACCACAAAATCTTATGTTATACTTAATGAAAGTATAAATAAACTCTAAGTGTTAGTCAATCTATCGTTTTGATGGGATACGAATTCTCCAAAACTAATTTCAACGATTCAAACCGTCAAACTTGTTTGTATATGCTTGGAGATCACATCAGCAAAAAATCACAAAAAAAAAACATTCAGAGATCAAGTAACGGGACAAAGCTTTTCGACGGTTATAAACAAAAAATCACGATTTAACGGTTATTTTAACTCTGATTTGGATTATTTTTTACAGCTACACTCCTTGACCCTATATGAATACAATGAATGAATTCGATCTTCAATTTAAAATATTTACACAAGTGGATATCACAAAATCTTATGTTATACTTAATGAAAGTATAAATAAATTCCAAGTATTAGTCAATCTATCATTTTGTTGGGATACGAATTTTCCAAAACTAATTTCAATGATCCAAACCGTCAAACTTGTTTGTATATGCTTGGAGATTACATCAACAAAAAATCACAAAAAATAAACATTTAGAGATTAAGTAACGGGACAAATCTTTTCGACGGTTAAAAACAAAAAATCACGATTTAACGGTTATTTTAACTCTGATTTTGATGATTTTTTACAGGTACACTCCTTGAGCCTATATGAATACAATGAATGAATTCGATCTTCAATTTAAAATATTTACACAAATTGATACAACAAAAGTTTATGTTATACTTAACGAAAGTATAAATAAACTTTAAGTGTTAGTCAATCTATCGTTTTAATGGGATACGAATTCTCCAAAACTAATTTCAACGATCTAAACCGTCAAACTTGTTTGTATATGCTTGGAGATCACATCAGCAAAAAATCACAAAAAACAAACATTCAGAGATCAAGTAACGGGACAAAGCTTTTCGACGGTTATAAACGAAAAATCACGATTTAACGGTTATTTTAACTCCGATTTTGATGATTTTTTACAGCTACACTCCTTGACCCTATATAAATACAATGAATGAATTCGATCTTCAATTTAAAATATTTACACAAGTGGATACCACAAAATCTTATGTTATACTTAATGATAGTATAAATAAACTAAGTCTTAGTCAATCTATCGTTTTGTTGGGATACGAATTCT